CCAACCCCACCCCATCCCCAAATACAATCCACCCTGCAACCCTCATTCCGTACTCCTATGATAAACATAATGCCCTAAAATATAATCTTTATGTGCTGAAACTAGCGATCCTTCCTCATACAGAACAGCTGGTAGAATTGAACTACCGACCTTTCAGTTAGCAGTCCTCATATGCTCTGTCACCAGAGCTCTATTACCCATGTTGTTAGCTTCCATCAGGTTGATTATGACTGATAACAACCCTTTAAACGCGCCAAAATTTTGCCCGATCCTGTACCATCCCTCACACTCTCCACCATGCTCAAAGCCCATTGTGGCAGGCAGTGTATCAGTCCGTCTCATTGAGGAGCTCCTCCCTCTTCTTCATTGACCCTCTGGATTTCCAAGCATAATGTCCTTTTCCAAGGACTGGTGGGGAGAAACCACTGAACATCCCACACACAGAACTTGACCTTCCAGTAGTATAAGCTACAGTGACCCTTTTGCTGGAGATGAGTAGAACCCTACCAAAAATGCCACGTATATGCACACCTCTGGGCAAGTGCCAGTGCTCGCCTGAGCCTATGGGTCTCGGTTTGGTCTGGAATTCTCTGGCTATATCTTATGCCCTTCCACCAGTTTGACCCTCTGTGTAGGCTCTCATCCCTGGCATGACAATCTAGCCTAGATTTACCACTGTCTGGGCCGGGCTTGGAGGCCTTTACTTATAAGCCACTAGACTTGATAGAGTAGCATGTATGTATAGAGAATGAAGGAACAGTGATCTCAAAGGGGCTTGATAATGATTTTGATTTTGCTCCTCTTGATTTTATGGAGATCATGTCTTAATTAATGCACTGAGAACATCTAGATAAACCGAAGGATTCTAAAGTTTAGGACCTATAGAAACTTCTCCCTTTGCCTCTGTCTTGAAGTTAGGCTTTTAGGGAAAACAAACACAAGGTTTGATTTTCAATCTCTAGGCAGACAAGCTCAACATCAAGAAAACAAAGATTCTCACCACTGGGCCTATTAACAGCATCATGACAGATGGTGAAGAGACTGAGGTTGTTGACAGCTTCAGTTTGCTTGGCTCTACAATCAACACTCTTGGTACCAGCAACCAGGAAATTAAAAGATGAATTGCATTGGGAAAGTCTGCTGTCAGAGACATCTCCAAGGTACTAAAGAGCGATGATGTCAGTCTTGAGACTAAGGTGCGCCTGATACAGGCCATGGTCTTTGCCATTACTTGCTATGCATAAGAGAGCTGGACAATGACTAGGGATGATAGAAAGAGAATGGATGCCTTTTAGCTTTGGTACTAGAGAAGAGTATTGAATATAGCATGTACTGCTAGGAGAACAAGCAAGTTCATCCTGGAGAGGTGAAGCCAGGCTACTCCTTGAAGGCAAGGATTCTGAAGCTCCATCTGACATACTTTGGACATGTTGCAAGGTGGGATCAGTCCTTGTTGAGGGACGTCATACTTAGGAGGGTGGAGAGACAGTACAGAAGAGGAAGACCCTCAATGAGATGTACTGATTACGTCACTGAGGTAAGGGGGATAGGTGTGTCAGACAATAAGGTGGACAAGAGACAGAGCAGGGTATAGGACTACTGTACGTAGGGTCGCTATGAGTCGCAAGCGACTTGACAACACATAACAACAGGCAGATAAGCTGTCTGACCCCACCAAGGCAGTGCACAACATCCTCACCCCATGAAGGCTTCCATCTGCCCCACTGGAGTGAACTGTGTAGGCTGGAAGGAAGCAAACACTATTTTTTTTAAACAAACACTATTAACATTATTTAAAAAGGAAAACACACCTTTTTAAGTTGCACAGTGGATTAAGCATTGGACTATTAACCAAAAGGTTAACTGGTGGTTTGAATACACCAGCTGCTCTGCAGGCAAACGAGGAGACAGGCTGCTTTCATAAAGATGTAGCCCTGGACATGTTTAAGGGTTAATTCTACCCTGTCCTACAGGGTCAATATGAGTCAAAACGGACTCCACAGAACTGGTTTTGGTTTTGGTATGGGGAGAAAAATGTTCTAATAAAAGGTATGTTTGACTTAAATTGTCACAAACCTCTTCCTCATTTTTAAGACCTTGGGTCAACAACCATTTCCTCAGGAAGCCCTCCCTGACTTTGCGCCTAGGTCACATTTCCCAATTGTGTGTTCACTAAGCCCGGGCACTTCCCCTTCATAGCCTGGCCCTGGCTGCATTCTTCTTTTTTTGTGGTTCAATCGGATCTGAAAGCACTTTCTTCTACGTTTAAAGTTCTTCAATCTTATGCATTTTCTTTTTAAATTGAAATTTGAGTGATGGTTTGCCATTCATATACATTTTGTCCATCACCACAAGGTACTCACACATTTTCTACTTTTAGTTGTGATTTCAGTTAGTTTTCTATACCTTTCTGTGTCTTCCTTTTTTTTAGTGATACTGTGCTGGTCATCCTCTTACTGGATATTTCCTTTCTCTTCACGTGCAGCTTACTATGTATTTGGATAAGGCACTGTGCTGTTAACCTAATGGCAGACAGTTCAAATCCATCAGCTGCCACATGGGAGAAAGGTGGACAGTCTCTGCCTGTGATATTTGTTGTTATGTGCCTTTGAGTCACTTGCTATCCATAGTGACAACAACTCTGAAGCCTGTCCCGGCCTGAGCCAGTCTCACTGACTCCGACACACATATTCCCATTGCCCCAGTTACTGTATCAATCCATCTCATCTGGGGTCTTCCTCTTCTGCACACAGCCTCTGAAAACTCACTAAATGACAGCTATGCATTGGCTCTGATTCAATGACATGTAATAACAGCATTATCTATTTGCTAATTTTTACTCCTTTCTCTCTCCCCATCATCTCTGATAAACATACAAGAGCATTTTATCTGTGAGGAAAACTTTCTTTAGCCTTTTATAACAGTAGGCTTTTTTATGCTTTTCTCTTTTTTTATTATTAATTTTATGAAAGTTTACAGAGACTTTGGATTTCCATTAATCCATTGTTTCACTTTTCTCCCTGCCCACCTCTCCCCCAATGTCGCTCTTCTCTTTGAAAAGTAAAAGGAAACTTATTTCAGTGTTATACAATCCCTCCTTCCAAACCCACTCTACTATGATACCTTCATTCTGGACTCCTGTCATGACAATAATACCTAATCACATATCCCTTTTAAATAGTTTTCTCCTTCATCTGTTTCAATGCAGTATACATAATTTATCCCATCTTTCTCAGTCTCC